ATCAAACGTTTGTCATTATTTCACCAACAATTTATCAATTGACACTTTTTCGATATCTTGCATAAGAGCAAAGAAAAATCAGCTCAAACGTATTAGTGCGGGGCTCTTATATCACATGTTTTATGGCATTTAAAACTATGGAGAAAGTTTGAATAACACTTCACTTTAACTTTTTTCAAGATGTCAAGAAGCTATCTTTGCGCCTGAATAACGTTGTAAAACTTTCAAATAGGCTGTCTGTGTCTATTTTTGTGTCAAAATGAGACATTAGGTATTTTATGAACTCCAAACGCGATTGCTGATAATTTTTCTTAAGACCAGGTTTCTGATTTTGGGTGAATTTGTTTTATTTGTTATTACGAACAAAACGAATTTTATTTTTACCCTGATCTTTCTAATTTTGTTGAATTCAACAAATATTTCGATACACATCGAATTTTTGCTAATTCCTCAGATCACGTACGGTTAAAAATATGATAGAATACCCTTAAAACCGTCAACTTTAAGCCACTATATCTAATTTTCTGAGTGAGATATGAAAATCGGTCAACTGAGAAAATGTCTGTCATAATATCACAATTATTTGTCAGTGGACCATTCTCTGATATCTTTCACAAGAACCGAGATAATTTGGCTTGAAATTGAAAGTGAGGCCATTATCCAGTTAGATTATTGGAAAACCATTACCCAAACTATGACGTTTCATTGTTTCAAACTCAAAATCACAAAACACGACAAAATACACTGGTTCTCCAAAAACTAACCTCCTCGACTGAAGAAACTTCAGAATGCTGCTGAGATTCAGAACAAGAGTCAATGACCCACATAGTGGTTCATATTGACATCAAGAGAAATAAATGAATAGATACTTGAAGATGAGAAAATGGCACCGAAAAAGTGATGGTATAGTATAACAATATGAATATTTCAGCAAGAAAAGTCGAGTTTCTCAGCGCGTTTTTCTCACACTTTTCGCGCTCTTACACCTGGATGTAAGGTCAATTTGAAGAAAACATAGCACCTCCTCCTGCACTTCTCAAAATGGCTATTGTTTGCGAAAGTTTTCGGTTCTATTCAAAAACTCTTTTCTTGCTACTTTTTTTCGACTTTTTTCGAAGAAAAAAGGAGCGGTAAAGTGGACTACTCCACTTTTCGGTCCTGAATCTCAGTGCAATCTTAAAAGGTCTTCAAGTCGCAGGAGGGAGTGGTTTTTTTTTCCTTTGGAGTCAAAGTGGTTCATAGGGCTTCGTGTCAAGTTTTATGGGTATACTACCAGTTAAAAGTCCAATTCAGATACTAATAGTTTTTTGGACATGTCAATTGGATATCTGGTAAGACATAATGGTTCAGGAAAAAACTATTGTAGTAGGCATCTTTTGAGAATGAGTACTATACTAGAATCAAAGAGAAAACAAATCAGCAACGTCACAAAACCATATATAGATCTTGGAAAAGATTTTTTAAAAAGTTATAAGGAGAGAAAGGAAAAAAGAAGGTACATCAATATACTTAACACGAAAAGGCAATGTTTTTTGGGTGGCTTGCGTCTAACACGTTTTTGCCTGCTCTTCCTCCTGACGTCGGGCTTTTTGCCACGGACCTCTAAAGTGCTTCTGCATAATCATTCGACAATGTTTTGGGGACTTTTTGAGGAGGATGTGCGTTGAGATTTTTTCCCAAAAAGCCAGGCCACTTGAAACATATTTGAAAACTCCCTACTTACTTTTTTTCCTTTCATTTAAGCGTTGAAACGTTTGCGAAAAGCCTGTGAGAGCCTATTAGGGCTCTGATGAATATCTGTTAGAGCTGCTGGACGCTTGAAGGAATACCAAATTGGAACATACTTGCAGATCCGGGCTAACAAAATTTGTATACAGATGAGAAGAGATGAAAAATGGGAATATATATCCTACATCATACCAGAAAAAAATTTCTATAGAGACTGAATGTCTCTCGATTTTCTTTCTCATTCAAGGAAAAATTGGGAAAAGAATTTGTAGTATGAGTAATTGTATCAGTCATAAAAAACGGGCAATGAAAACGAGAACACTAATCGAGCAGAGAGCTGGGCACGACGATGAGTTGTATTAAGATAATAGGTAATTACAACCTGGTGGTGGGAGGTAAAGGAGACAACTCCTCGACACTCTTGTCACTCATAATGTCAAACTTGCATTCAGACAGAAGGGAAGGAAACGTCAATTGGAATGTGGAAAAGGATGGCGGGATATTGAGAAAAAATAGGTGAAAACATTCTGGAGAAAATACCTGATTACTTTTTTGCGGTTGGTGTGGTCACAATATACAATCGGTATCCTATATTTTTCGAAAAAAAAAAGTCAAATGTTTGTTCTGAATTTGTGGATTGTTCTGTTTTGAAAGATTGGTAAAAATGTTTTCTGAGCAGTATACCGTAGAAAACTCAAACTGGAGTTCATCTATACGAGCACTTTGAGCTCGATTATCTTGGTTTCTCTAAAAGATATAAAACAATTTATAACTAAAAGGTTATTAAACAAACTATAACCAATATTTTATCAGTTTATAGATATTTGATATCCCTTAAAGGTGGTGTGATAATAGAGCTCACCGACAAGGCTTCTAATAGAGCAAATACGGTAATTGAACATATTTCCAAACAGCAAAGCTGGAAAATCAGATCGGACGTCCTAAAATGATAACGAAGGTGTCCATAAAATTTCCTTAAATTTCAAGGGTGATACTAAGGTTTTCAATTGTTAATTGAGACTATGAAATCAAATATTTCTCAAATAATTCAGAAATTGACAAAATTCAAAAATTCGTTAATAAGTTAGTGAGTCAAAATATCCTTGATTTCCGGTGTCTAAATCCTCAAACAATGTATATTTTTTAATTTTTCGGATACTGAAAAAACGATAATGTCTCTCTGATAAAAATACAATTTTTGGCTAAAAAAATCAGGACCCTTGAAAATTCTTGAAACGTATTCATCTAGCTCTAACCAAAAAAAAAAAAAGATTTCTCCGTTATCAAAAAAACTGAAAAAGCTCTAAAATAACTACTAGTACTAATAAGGTCCCGACTAAAACGACCGCCCTAGTTGATCGGATTGTTAGACCTTTTCAGAACAGGAACCATTGTGTTTTGTCAGTTTTGTGTTCGGTCTCTTTTCAGTCTTGAAAATGGACAAAAAGTGAAGAAATAGGAGAAAAATGAGAGAGATTCTAAAGGAAAGCTGTTTTGGGGAATAGGAAAATAAGGAAAGCGACAATGAAATAACATTCGGTAGCTGTGTAGCTCGGCAATAGATAGAAAATAGTCATAAAACTTGAATAATGGAAGGATGAGGAGAAGAAGAAACTTAACTTGTGTGTGAAGAATCTTCTTGGTGACCTTATCGGTTGGAGGCACGATTTTGAATAAAAATTATTTATTCTCTACGTTTCGGCTTTATGCCATCTTCAAGAACTGGGATGAAAAGACAAAAATTTTTAGAGACAAGGAAAAGGAAAAGAAAAAGAAAAAGATTTTTGCTAGAAGAAACTCTTTTTAGTATGTTATTCAGATGGAATTTGGAGAAAAATGAGCTAGAATGTGCTAGAATGAATTTGAAAATCAAAAAAAAAAATTTTTGTAGTTTTCTGGCAAAACACATAGATTCCCGGTTGTCTGTGATTCTTTGCTCCCACTTTGTTCTTTTTTGTTGAAATTAGTTTTTGTCGCATATCTCTTGCTCCTCCTTCTTTTTTCCCCCATTTTTGAAAATCTGTCGGAATTGTTCCTCGAGCTTCCGAATCTTAGTTTGTGCACTAAAATGAGCGGGTTAATACCAAACCAGAGTGGCTCCCATGGGGATCGCGCCCCGCTTTCGAGCGCTTTTGGGAGCGGAAAATGTTGGTAGTAGGGGAATGGGACGTTTCTCGTGAGTGGTGTCGCAAACATGTTTGGGTCGTTGTCCCGTATTTTATGGTGAACAGAACACTTTTGTCAAGAGAACAAAACAAGACGGCGACGGAAGGCACGCACAAAAAAGGATGCGTCCCGAAAGTAAGAAAGAAAAAAGTGACAGAAACTTTTTGTCAGGAAGGATGTATTTTTTTTTGGTCAAAAAGTGTCCAAGATGATACATCTCTAGGTGCAGAAAAAGTAGAAACTGCATCTTTCGGGGAAGAGCTCTCTCAACTGGAACAAAAAATGTTACACATAGAACAGAAGCAGGTGATTGTGATACTATTTCGGGATTTGGCATCAGAATCGCGATATTCATAGAATATGAGGTTTATGAAGATATACTGTAACTCAAAATCTCAGTTTTGCCATTGTCGAAAACCTCTTTCTAGCAAAAAATGAAACAAGTAGTTTCAATTTCTTTCATTTCCTCATTCAATCCTTATTCTCTTTATTCCAAAGTCAAACTAGAAAAGTTTTGACGTGTCCATTTTGCTCTTTTCCTCTTCTTCCCCGGTCGATAAAGTATGCATGAACCTTCGAGGAAACATATACATTTTTTGCTTATTGACCAAAAAATAGACAAAAAAGGCACCCATGGGTTTCGGGTGTGTACAAGACACGAGATGAATGGGTTGTGACAAGCTGAAAATGATTCAATTATCACCCGAATTTTGTTTTTGTAAGGCGCTTCGTTTGTTTTTTAGGTCCTTATCTTTGAGGAAAACTACAAAAATAGAAACAAAAGTCCTAGAACAAAAAAAAAGGGAGAAGAAAAAAGTTTGAACTTTTTGTGTATACGTTATTTTTTTTGTTCTTCTGACTCTTTCCTAGTCCTCCCCCAACAACTTCCAACATTTCTCCGAGTGAAACCTAGTCCTTTTCTCACTTCTCAACACATAATCAGAGGTTTGAATGATTAATGAACTACCACTTCTCTCGTTAGGATTCTTCCTTTCCATTCACACTTTTTCTTCTTCTTCTTCCTTTCATCTCATCATCATCACTCAAAACTTTTTTGAAGAAGAGGCATTCTTTTCAAAATGCAGGGGCCACTGCTAACAATAAATCTAGATTAAGCACTTAGAGCAACTGTTGTCACGTCTTGAAGCTTCTCGTGTCCCCCAACACCATTCAAAAGTATCATAGGCGAGTGTGGTGAACTAGAAAATTCATTTTTGAAGCGCTTTCTAGGTATCAAAAACATAAAGTACAAAGAAAAGCGCTAAAAGTGAATAGGAGGAATGTAAATGTGAACAAAAAAATAGAGTCCACAATAACAAGATTATTCCGCTTGGTTAAACGGTTTTTTGGGAGGAATGGATCTGGAAACTATCAAAATGTGCATCTGTTATTGTGATTTTTTCATGTTATGCTATTTTTTATATGCAATAAGTTTCCTTTTTCTAGGGTTGCGTGGAATAGTCACATACATAAATGGAGAGCAAATTCGTATGCAAATTGACGTAAACTGGTCATGTCTTAGGCATTCAAGATATTGCCAAAAACAAAAAAAACTTCTTCTTTTCCTCTCCGTTCTTTTCAGAGAGACTTCTTCAATAGAATTGTCATGCCCAGTCGTTTTTTTTGTATTAAGTAAATTTTTGAGAAAAGCTTAAATAACTAGGAATTCTAAACACACTTAAACAGAAAAAAACTAACCGGAAACGATGAATAGGTAGGTGGAATAGATTGGCGTAGTCGTCTTGTAGGGTCAGGAACAGGTACAGTAACTTTTTTGTACTTTCCACCACCGTTGGTCAATGGGGTAGTTTCACGGAGTGGTTCAAGCGATGGAGGTGGTAATGGGTGATGAGAAGTATGGTTATTGTTCAGAGTAGCTAAAGAATGAGTTGACGAGTTGTTGGGAACACCACGATTTCGGTTTGAATTGGGCAGAGGGTCGAACTGAGCGGATCGACTTGTGGTCAGTGACATAGGTGTTCAAAGTTTCTCACACATTGGTGGCTCGCTCGACGACGTCTTCTTCACTTCCAGAGCACTCTGGGTAGGAAACTGAAGAATGCGAAATGGTTGGAGAAAGTAGAAAGAGAAGCGGTACAGAATATTGGTGATAATTAGGACAGTGTTAATAGATGGGGCAATGAAGATGAAGAAGAAGCTGTAGGGGTCGCCCTCGTGTGTCGTCTCCTCTCTGTTGTCTCTTTTTTGCTGTGCTCAGGGGGCAGAGTAAGGGGAGAAAGAAGGGGATGGAAGGAAAAGAAGGATAGAGGAGGCGGAGCAAGAAAACTGCGGGAGCCAGGGTCTATACAACAGTGAACGTCGGGAATATGGGTGTTGGTGGTACTAGAAACTGACTACTACAAGCGTTTCAGTTGGCCCACCACCAACACCCACCGACTGTCCGGTGTGAACTACCCAGGAGGGTACTCGCAAACATAAATCACCATCACGCGCGGCAACTTTTCTTAGCCATGACTAGGGGAACAGAAAAATGCTGGGCTCTTTTTTGGGTGAGAAGAGAAAAGAAAGGAAAAGTTCGAGGTCAGAAAGTGATGTTTTGAAACGAAGTACAGAAATGCTGAGCGGGATGAGTACCAGAGGTTTTCTTAATCTAGGGTGGGAATTTGGTTCGAAGAAAAATTGGGAGGAGAATCTGCACTGAGGAGCACATAGGACAGGAAAATGCAAAAACTGTAATTTTCCTAAAATGAAAACATACAAATTTCCATTCAAATAAAATTCCATTCAGATAAAATTATTTCAGACGACAATTGACTTGGAAGGAGTGCAAAAGATCGTATTTCATAGAACAGAAGATATTCAAAAACTGAATCAATATCCTAAACTGTTATTTTCAAATGGTACTTCTGATAGATAAAAATTTGCCAGTTTTGAGTTATAATAGCTTTTTTGAAAAGAAGAGATTAGAGTTTTTGCAATCTGAAATTTAAAAAATTTACGTTTTTTTAAGAAGGGTCATTTTCAAAGTCTTTCCAAAAGAGCTAAAGAAAAATTAGTAATTTCAAGTCCTATAAAAATTGTTTTTGAAAATTTGAATTTTTCGAAATAAGGATACAACTTTTGCAAGTTAAAAATTTTGAAAAATTATTTTTTCGAAAAATTAAGCAAACTGAGAATTTTGAAAATTTCGATATTCAGAAAGATACCAATTCTCAATTTCTTCAAAGTCTTACAAAAGAGCTTAAGAAAACCTGCATTTTAAAGCTCAAAAAATTGGTTGTTCAAACTACAGTAACTTTTGGTTTTGGTCGAAACTTTAAAATCCCATGATAGACTCCAAGGTTTTTGTTTTCAGAATGCAGAGCCTGCCATTCTCCTCAAACGAACAAAAAAATCTGTTACAGACGAACAGAGAAAACTGCAAAAATACATTGTTTGCCTCATTCACCTCTCCTCGTTCTATTTTTTCCTATTCCCACCCATACCCACTTTTTTCGGGCCGTTTCTCTTCTTATCCTTGGTTCTTTTCTCTGCTCAGTCTCGTTGAGTACCTGAATATATCTCTAATGTGTTGCGACAATTTAGGAGAGAGCTGCTCCTTTTCCCAAAGGAAACAATCCGTTTTAGAGGGAACAAGCACAAAAAACATTCCTTTTCATGACACGAGATTGTCGTGTTTGAAAAAGTCTCCTCCCAATTTTTTTTTACGGGGCCCTTCCCTGAGCTCAATGCTCAATTTTTATCATCAGACTAGTGAACAGCTGATGTGATGGGCGCATCAAAGAATGATAGGGCACGCAAAAACATGGTGGGAATAAAAAAACGAGAGTAGCGAAAATTATATTACACCTTTTGCATTAAAGGCTCAGTATCAAATTACGCGTTCCACTAAAGTAAGAAGAAAAAATGCAACATAAAAAAGGCAGAACCGAAATAAAAAAGGAAAATGGAGCAAAAAAAAACCAACTTGGCATGTTTTTCCTATCTAGCCCTATCCCTCTTGACTTGACATGTTCGAATTTCGGATAAAAAAACAAGTTTTTCTTTACGTTTTTCATCACTTGCATTTTTTTCGACAAATTTTGTTGAAAAAGAGTCAAAGCTAGGAGTTCAAATCTAAAAAGAAGTTGGTGGTCACCATGGTCACATAAAATAGTGAAGTCAAAAAGAAAATGAAGAAAAAAAGAAAAAAAAAATGAAAGAAAATGGTGTCATGCCCAGCTGGCGTTAATAATAAAAGCTAGATTTTTTTTTATTCTGCCAAGTTATGTTATGAACTTTACGGTTCAACTGGAAATTTTGCGATTTAGGGAAATATTCGTGCATTTTTGCATTTTTTTTAGTTCCAAGTAATGATCGTAGAAGTCTTTAGTTCAAAAGTACAAAAAATCTGGTGAAATATGAATTCGTAAGAATTTTCCAAATACTTGCATTTTTTGACAAATTTCGGAATTTATAGAAAATTTTGGATTTAAAAAAAAATTGAATTTGTATTGATTGTTTGATTTAGAAGACAATTTTTAGACTTTGAAGAACTTTGGATTTCGCAGAATTTGTCATTAAAACGCAAAAAATTCCAAATTCAAATTAAAATTTTTCAATCGAAAATAACCGTCTAAAATCGTTAATTCTAGTTTTTTAAGCTTCAAAAATTATATTCTGAAAATTCTGAATGTCACAAAATGCAAAAAAAACAAAGTGTAGTGATTGGTTATGATTTTCATGATACTTTTTAAAGGGGGACTCCGGTCAATTTTTTTATTGCATCAAAATGTGTTAAAATGTATCTATTTTCAGAATATTTTTGCGAAAAAAATTCGAAAAAAATCCGAAATCTCCAAAAACGCCGTTGAAAAGGAAAAAAACTCAAAAAAAGATGCCGCCGAGGGACGAGGATTTTCAGTGAGAAACCTAGGCCACGTGAGCGGCGCGACTTTCTTACTGGACAATTTTTCCGGATTTGTTTCGCTTTTATCTCCGACAGGTAAAAAACGTTAAAAAACACTGTCGGCCACTTGAAAATAATGCTCTCAGGCGCCGTGGCCTAGGCTTCTCACTGCGCGAGAATTCAAATCCTCGTCCCTCGGCGGCACCTTTTTTTGAATTTTTTTCGTTTTCAACAGCGTTTTTCGGGGGTTTCAGATTTCTTTTGAATTTTTTCGCAATAATATTAGGAAAATAGATAACTTTAAACACATTTTCATACAATTAAAATTTTTGGTCGGAGTCCTCCTTTAAATATTTCAAACACTAAAAATAATCTGGAACATAAATAAATTTTTCAATTATTAACTTGATTTTTCGAAAATCTTTCGAAAATTTTTTACATTTCAGTTAATTTCATTCAATTTGCAAAAAAAAAAACCAACATACCCAAAACATAAACGATTGCCTAATCTTCTCTCCTACACTCTTTGACTCGATTTCGATTTAAACTTGGATTTCAGCACGACACGAGGGTCTAGTAGTAATAGTTAATCACGTATGACGAAAAACAAATAAATAGTGAAGAGAACCATTTGCGATTTGGTGTCGAGTTTCATCAATTTCCTCCTCCTTCTGCCTTTTTGGTAGAAGAAGAAGGCTCAGAAAATGAGCAATGAGAGCCGCCGTTGGTTCAGCTCTTCTTGCCTTTGCGCTGCTTCAATTAGTCAAGATTTGAAAACGAAAAAAGTCTTCTATGTCTTGCTCTCGGTGTCTTCACTTATTCTTTTGACTCGAATGTCAGATCGAATAACCAAAAAAGATCACCGAAAGATTCAAAGATGTGGGACATTCCTTTTTGACTATTCTTCTGTTCCAAAAGCACTTTTTTCCATTTATGACAAATTTCATTTGTATCATGGATAAAATCAAATTAGAGACTATTCAGGGTGGAACCAAAGGATGACATGACTAGGTGTTTTTTTAACGAGTAGAACGGATCTATAGAAAATTAGAACACTTTCAACGAAAATTGAGGAAAAAAGCTGAAAAGCGCAAAAAGTGAAAAAGCGAACGTTGACTGAAATTTTTCAAATTGAAAGTTTCAGAATTCGTAATAAGATGTTTTGGCAGCTATGTTCTTCTCATGACATGTTACACAACCGTCAGTCATGGCAACCAAAACGAAGGAAACAGAATTGAAAATGAATCTAATGATGTTTTGGTAAATTGAATAAAAAATTGGTACCAGAAAACGCACATAGTACATTGGAATTAACTCACACTAGGAATGAAAAATATTAGATGTTACGTTTTCCTAGAGGCACAACTTATTGACATGGCTCTTCACGTTCAGCTGGCAATTTTACAACATAAAAATTTTATTGAAGGACGAAAAACAGTGATAATAATCATAACATTTTCCATTTTCTTCTTTTTTAGATGTTCCCCCGCCCCCCATTTTTCAATTCAACGTAAAAAATGAAACAATGTTTAACACTAGGAAATTTTAAAAAAAACAGTGTGTTGTTTACCGAGTTGTTTACAAAACTTCATAAGAATTATTACGAGTAAGATTTTTACAAAAAAAAAATAAATTTAATGAACTCAAAAAGAAAAACAAAAAGATTTGACCCAGGCAGGGCTCGAACCTGCAATCTTCTGATTAGAAGTCAGACGCCTTATCCATTAGGCCACAAGGCCACGATGTACACTTCAACCATTTGTTTGCTATGTGTTGCGTGTTTTGTGTGCGGAGAGGAGAGAAGATGGAAGTTTGCGGCAGGTAGAGAGAAAGGGGGATAGTCAGGCAAAGTTTACTGTTTTATTGTAGTTTTTGGTGCGCCCAGGCAACATGGAAGACATAGAAAAAAAAATAATAATAACAATTAACTAATTTTGAAATATCTAGTACAAACTACAAAAACCTGCTTATAGATGGCGTGAAATCTGTAATAGAAGGGCACCCAAAATGTTAAGTTTGAGCTAAATTATCTCGGTCCCCGTGCAAAATATCAAAAAAATGTCTACTGACAAATTTTTTCTGAAAATATAATAAACAATTGATTGGTGGGCAACTTTCTGATTTT